CAAGATATGAAAATACCCATTTAGAAACTATCAAGGGCTCATGCGGGAGGGGGGAGCGGGGAGGGAGGGGAAAAATGAGGACCTAATGTCGGGGGTTTCAATGGAGAGAAAATGTTTTGAGAAACGATGTACAAATGCGCTTTACACAATTGATGTGTGTATGGATTGGGATAACAGTTGTATGAGCCCCTAATAAAATGTTAAAAAAGAAATAAAAATAAAAAAAATAAAATGTTTTCACTCTTATGAAGTGACACAAACAAGTAAAAAAAAAAAAAATGTCTGTTAGGCCTGGTTGAGTAGAGAAACAAATCCAATGACAATTGTGTGTGTAAGAAAGAGTTTTATATCAAGAAGTAATTGTCTATCAGGAAAACATCCCAGCCCAGTCCAACTCAAGTCAATAAGTCTGATACTAGTCTATACGGCCAATACTAGTCCATAAATCCCTCTTCAGACTCTTGCAGCCACAAGCAATGATGCAAATTCAGGAAGCGCACAGACTGGTGGGTGAAAAGTCATGTGGATCCTATGGTGTGGATGCATCTTCTGGGCTCTTGCAGGTCTCAGTGTGACTCATCAGGCAGGTAAAGGCAGAGAGATAGATAGAGTGGCCCACCTCCAGAGAGCCATTTATGGCATAGCACCTCCACATGAGGTCATCAAGCTTTGACCCGAGTGATAGGCTAAATTCCACCCATATCTTTTTACGGGTACCATGTTGGCACAAAAAAAACCCCTAGCTATCAGTGTCCAACTCTCCCCGCCAACAACAACAACAAAAAGCCAAGGGCCAGGTGACTTTACCAGCGAATTATAATTAAGCCTTTAGAGAAGAGCTGACACCAATTCTACACTAACTGTATCCAAATTATTCTAGAATATTGAAAAGAACAAAAAATCCCAAACTCATTTTATGAAGCAAGCAAAACCCTTATAACAAAACCAGGCAGACATTACCATTGTAGAAAATTATAGACCAATATTTCTTATGAACATAGATGCAAAAATTCTCAACAAAATCCTGGCTAATAGAATCCAACAACATGTAATATATATATATATATACACACACACACACACACATATCATCATGATCAAGCGAGATTCATACCTGTGGTAGTTATATAATTGTTTATCAATTTGAGAGGATTAAGAGTGAAGGGGTGGAGTCTAGCCTGTCAACCATTATATAGCCAATGAGACCTCTGTGTGGGCGTGGCCTTCTACTGAGAAACTCCTGCGTTCCTCCCTGGAGACGGGAGACACTCTCACTCTGACCAGACTCCTGGGAGACATTGCAGCTGATAAGACACATGGAATTGCGCTAGTGCCCTGAGTTGGAGCAGCCACGTGGAGACACCCCTGTCTGTGCTGAGATGCTTACAATGCCACTGGATCCACAAGACTTACCACCCACTAGTCTATGATCTTCCTACATTTGGTGTCATTACATGTATTTCATGAGTCTGAAGAGGACTTTATAGATTGGTATTGGACATATAGGCTAATATTGGACTTACAGACTTGATCTGGACTGGACTGGGATGTTTTCTCAAAATTCAATTGCTCTTGTATATAAAGCTCTTTCTTATACACTTATGAGTATCCATGAGTTTGTTTCTCTAGTCTACCCAGACTAACACAATACCAGACACATGAGGATGATTCAACACTAGAAAAACAATTAATGTAGTTCATCACATAAACAAAACAAAGATTGGAACCACATATCATGCCAATCAGTGAAGAAAAGGCATTTGGCCATATTCAACACCATATATGAAAAGCCAATGGCCAACATTTCACTCAACACAAAAAAAACTGAAAATATTTCACTAGTGAATGGGAAACAGACAACTATGCCCTTTGTCACCACTCACTCAACCGTGTGCAGGAAGTCTTAACTAGACTAATAGACAACAAAAATAAATCAAAGGAACCCAAATGGGCAAAGAAGAAATGAAATTCTCACTATTGCAGATTATATGATTTTATACATTGGTAAATCCAAAGATTTGACAAATTGTTGGAAACAGTTGAAAGATTTCATAAAGTGGCAATATACATGATTAAAATACCCAAATCAACAGGATTCCTGTAAACTAGCAAGAAGAGCTCTGGGAAATATATAAATAAAAATACCATTTATAAAAGTCACACAAAATAAACCTAACTAGAAAAACAAAGACTTATACAGATAAAACTACAGAACACTATGATAAGAAACCAAAGGAGAACTACATAAATGGAAGAATATTCCATGTTCATGGACAGGAAGGCTTAACAATGTAAAAATGTCACTACTACCAAAATCAATCTATAAAGACAACATAATTCTGAACCATATCCCAATTGCAGTCTTTAAAAATGATACTGGTAAAATAATAAGTACATAGACCAATGGAACAGAACCAAAAACCCAGAAATAGTTTCATCTACCTACAGACAATTGATCTTCGACAAAGGGGCAAATAACATCAAACAGAAAAAAAGATCGTCTCGTGAGTGAATGGGGTTGGTTAAATTGAATCTCCATCTGCAGAAAAAACTGGACCCATACCTCATGTACAAACATTAACTCAAAATGGATCAAAACCTATCAATTCCAGAGCTGTAAAGATAATCAGTGCAAAAAGGGACAAACTTAAGCACTCTATGGCAGGCCCTGGACATACATACTATCAAATATAATAAAGCACACAGTAGAAGACAAAATAGATTACTGAGGTCAACTAAATATTAGATCCTCAGTGCATAAGAAGACTTCATCCAAAGAGTAAAATGCACAATTGATCTATGTATTGTGACGAATTGTATGAGCCCCAATAAATTGATTTAAAAAAAAAAGAAGAAGAAGAAGATATGGATGGAGTTTAGCCTGTCAATGAGGTAGCAGCACCTGAACAATGGGCACAGTCGTGGTACTTACATGGTTGTTCTGAGAATTAGAATCACTGTTTGTAAATCAGTCAGATCTGCAACAAAGCATGTTTGCGTAATAAAGCTTACTATCAAACTCCTGGTTTGCCTCTAAAAATAAAAAATGCGAACCCACACACTGGGAAAAACTTTGGCAACTACACAACTGACAAAGGACTAATCCCTAAAATCTATAGAAAACTGCCCGATCTCAATAAGAAAAAGATGATTACCCCAATAAAACGTGGGCAAATGACATGAACTAATGTCATGTAGCAGATGCAAATCAAAGCAACAAGGAGATACCACCTAACATCAACCATGGCAGCAAAATAATAAAACAACAACAAATGCTGGCGAGGGTGTGGAGAGACTGGAAGAAACACACTGCTGGTGGGGCTGTGAATGTCAATTGTGGAACACAATATGACGCTACTTCATATTCAATATACATGTGACCCAGCAAAACTTCTGCTGGGTATATATATATATCTTAAGGAAATAAGAGCCATAGCACGAACAGACATATGCACACCCATGTTCATCAAAGCACTGTTCACAATAAGATGAAAACCCCTCAAATGCCCAAGAGTAGAAGAAGGTTTAAAAACACGCTGCTGCCTACAATGGAATACTATGCATTGCTTAGAAACCATGATGAAACTTCAAATCATCTCACGGCATGCAGGGACCTGGAGAATCATTATGCTGAGTGAAATTAGTCAATCACAAAAGGACAATTGTTGTATGAGACCACTGTTGTAAGGGAGAGGACAAAAAGACAGACTTTCAGTGGAATGGGAACAGACTTTGAGGTCACCAAGGGATGGAGCATAGTGGTTATGCTGGGCGGCAAAGGCGGCAGTTTCAAACCACCAGCTTTCCACTCGGGTCCAGAGTTAGTCTGGGAAACTCCCAGGGGCAGCTCGACTCTGTCCTATAGGGTCATCATGAGTCCGCATCGGTGGCCGTGAGTTTGAGAAGGGAGGGAGGGCAAGATGGGGAAGAGGAAGCAACAGAGTAGGGGGCTGACAGGTATTAACTTGGGTGAAGGGGTTTTGTAACCCATCTGAGGGAGAAATCAAAGGGGGGAGGGTAGGTTAAGCTACTAGGGGAGGAGAGGGGTGTCATGACATGTAACTTAAACTGTTGAACACAAAGTTGGTGGTTGGAAATGTAACACTGCCATACACCCCCCACCCCCACATATATTATATATATGTAGTGGTTACACAGGGGGCTGCGATACGCATGGTTGGCAGTTCAAAACTAGCAGCAGCTCCGCGGGAGAAAGACTAGGTTTTCTAGTCTGGTGAACAGTTGCAGTCTCAGAAACATATGGGGGCTGCTATGAGTCAACATGGACTCAATTGCGAGTGCAATTACATCAGACAGCAATCAGCGCGGCTGGACCACGTGGCATCCAGGACAGAGGTGATTTGCGTCTCTGCCCCGCCCTGGCCCTGAAGCCCCGCCCCGGCCTCGAAGCCCCGCCCCACCCTGGCTCCGAACCTCGCCC